TGCTACAGAGGGCCTCTGAAAGCCAGAAGAAAACAGGAAACAACCTTGAAACCTGCCACAGAGGGCCTCTGAAAGCTTCTGCAGTATAGACTGTCAAAGCAGATGCTGAGCCTGATGGCCAACTGATGGGCAGAGTGAATGGAATTTTATGTAAGAAGTGGGAAATAGTAAGAGCTGGAGGGGACGGGAACTCCACAAGGAGAGCAACAGAACAAGATAATTTGAACACAGGGAACTTCCCAGAAAATCATACTCCAACCAAGGACTGTTCGTGGAGATGACCTGGAACCCCTGCACAGGTGTAGCCCATGGCAGTTCAGTGTCCAAGTGGGTTACATAGTAATGGGAAGAGGGACTGCCTCTGACATAATCTGATTGGCCTGCTCATTGATCACTTCCCCCTGAGGGGGGAGCAGCCTTATCAGGCCACAGTAGAGGACAATGCAGCCACTTTTGATGAGAACTGATAGACTAAGATCAGAAAGAAGAGGAGAACCTCCCCTATCAGTGGACCTGGGGAGTGGCATGCATGCAGAAAGGGGAGGGAGGGTGGGATCGGGAGGGGAGGAGGGAGGGGCTTATGGGGGGATACAAAATGAATAAAGTGTAATTAATAAAAAATTAAAAAAAAAGGTGAGTCAGAAAGCTTTGCATCAGGTACAGCATAGAACACAACAGGAGGAAGAAATTGCAAAGAAATTAGGGACAAAAGTGGCATGGGAGCTTTCAGGTGACTAGAGTCACAGAACACAAGAAAGGAAATGAAACATCACAATGTAGACCATAGATGTGTGAAATTATTATGTCAATCAAAAAAAAGTAATTGCTTTCAAATATAAATGTATGTTATCAATTAAAAATACAAAAATGCTACAAGCCTTGGGTGGCAAAAAACACAAGGAAAATCAAACAAGGCAGGCTGCATGTGGCTATGGCCATAACTTCTTTTAGTTTTCCTGAACCTGGATGTTTTCAGAAAAGTTCTAGAAAGCAAGAGATCATCTTCCAGGGTAGTCAGTCTCTCTAGAGTAGACATGTACGCCTGATGTCCCCTCTTAAAACCTCCACTCTAAAAGGACAAGAGTGCAGTTGGTGGGCATCACTTTTCTCCCATCACTCTTAGCTACCAGTTCCCATCACTCTTAGCATGCTACCAGTTCTGAATGCTTAGCTTACAAATCATCCAAAGGTAATATTCTAATGATGTCTACCCTGTTGTTGTGCCTTCTCAACCACCTGCTGATGAGTGATTCGGCTTACTCAGATTAGCTGGAGACAGAACTTTTACAGAAGGAATCACGGCACCTTGGGACAGTGAAGGTGTGGAGCTCTCAAAGACCAGTGCAGTGGTTTCCAGTGTTAGTGGACAGAGGAGGAACAAGCAAGGCATGCTACAAACTAACTAAAAATACAATTCTAAATGAACCATACTTGTTACACAGAGTTCAGGGTGCAAGAAAGAGCTCTCCTGCCAGCTGTGCACTTTCAAGGTTCTCTGTACTTACTGCCCAATTTTTCAAAAAACAAACATTTATTTCAATTTTTAGAAAGCATGTTCCTAACATTGGAACATGCTGAGCCTGCATCATCTCTGTGTATAAGTGGTATTTCTATCGTATATGCAGCTGCATTTCACTTTACTGCCTTGAGGATGTCCTGGGGTGACCAGCAAACTGATCATACTTAAAATCCTTCCCATAAGATGTCAACAAGCTTCACTTAACTCAATACAAATAAGAGCAATGAACAACCCACCAGGAAAACACCCTGGAGACTAAATGTTCTGAAAAGGCTACTTAAATTGTAAATTCTCAAAATGAACCTACATATTCCTCTGATTACAGCTTTCTTGGCGCCTGTGTCTACCAGGAGCTGTGTCTACCATTGAGCCATGCTGTGGTGGCCAACAGAGAGGATGCTATGACAACTCTGCTTAAAGTAATATTCTCTGGTCCCACAGGTCTAAGCACAAACAACTGCAGTACATCAATGTCAGTCTGCAAAATGGACTGACCCCCACCTCTGTTTCACTGACTATCTGGAAGTTCTGAAATTAAAACCTCAGTTTCAAAAAGTCAATAAAAGTCTTGTGAGATGGGAATAGTAACAACCATTGTCATTCTTAATTTGCTGATTGTTAAGTGGCTATTTGGGGAAAATACTATAATCTCATCAAACATTAACATTGTAGCTAAAACCAACTAAAAAATAATATAAAACCTTACATTCTGGAACCCTGAATATGCTTTCAAATGATCCTTTTCCCCCGTAATACATCCTTTAATTGGGTTGCTTTGATTTCTGTCATCCACCTCTTATTGCTGACTCAACCCTCATTACACACTTACAGTCAGTTTCCTACTCAATACTTTCTATTTTTTGCAAGGTCCACATTTCACTTTTAAGCATCTTATTTTATAAAACTATGGTGTGGCTTCACAGTTATGTGAACTGAGCTGTTGCCATTCTGACTCTAAGTAGCAAAAGGACCTTCTGGAAGCATCTTTGACATTGTGTCAGGAATGGTCAGCCATGCTCTTATGCTCAAGCTGTAGGGCAGCTCTAACTTCACTCTAGCACCAGATGTGTTTATGACTTTGCCTCCCTCAGAGCAGGACTCTATTTGTCTTGCCTCACTTGCATGCAACATTGTGCCCAACATACATCAACAAATATTTGATGAATGAGCAAACAGAAAAACTAAGAGATCCATCAACAGAGAACACAGCAATTATTTATTGTTGTAGACGCCAAGGCCATTGGCATTCTAGGCAACCACTTCATCGTGGCGCGCCATCCTCAGCCCCTGTTTTCATTTTGTTTTGTTTTTGATTGTTGTTGTTTTGTTTGTTTTGAGACTGGATCTCATTACATAAATGAGGCAGGTCTGAAATTGATAATCCTCCTGCTTCAGCCTTCTAGTGATGGGATTACAGATACTCACCAAGACTGACAGGTGTGTATGTTTTCTAAAGATGCTCTTGCTAGTCCTGTAATTTACAGAACTGAATCTAGATAATGTACGTTATCTCTTTCTCAGGAAATCAGATGCAGGAATTGCTTAGACAAATTTATCCCTACAGAAATATGACATTAAACATGCTTCTATTTCCAGAGTGAAATGCTGTTATGGTTCAACATGTCTGCTGTTGCCTAGAAAGGGATGTCCATTTCTCAGGAAAAAAAAATGGCATACCCTTCACTGTAGGAAATATAAAATCTAAGAAGCATAGAAACACAGGATCTTCCTCTGAGGGCTCACAATGCTTTAGGCCAATCTAAGTAGGATTTCTTTTTAAACTTTTAAATTACACATAGTTATATGTATGTTGTGTATCCATATATGTACATGCATGGATATAGCTCAGATCTCTCTCATCTCTCTCCAGGTCTCACTTACTCACTCAGATCCAGGGATGTTTCTTGGCAAACATTCACTCATCTCCAATTGAGTCACACGAGGGACCTTGAAACACTGCACCCAATGGAAAATGACCATGATGACTTCATTGGAAAAGACTGTTCCAACCCTGCCAACCTGCCAACCTCTCTTGAACAAGTTTGACCCTCTGCCAGGTCCTTATCATTTGTGAGAATGTCACTTAGGATCCTCCTCTGGCACATTTGATTTCTACACAAAAATGCCCAACCAGAGTATAATCTGAGCACAAAGTAAACTTCTGAGCTACAGGAGCTCAGCAAACCTTCAGGAACACCAAAGCATCATCTTAACTAAAGTGATGTGTGATTGTGTCTATACAGGAACTCTCAGTGTTAGAGAGAAATCAGAATGAGACACCAAGGCACCAAGGAAATGTGTGAATCAAAGGCAACCAAACAAAACCCCAGAGTAAAAAACAAACACATTCGAAATGAATACTTTCTTGGCACAGTCGGCCGAGTAGTTACTTCACAGGTAAGGGGCGATTATATTTTTAAGTGATTTTAATACCCAATGCATCTCCAGCTCATGAACTGTGTGAAGTAAGTTTCTTTTATTCATTTCACCCCCTTGTTCATACTTATAGGTGGCACTGATATTACTTTTCCATTAGGAGGTTTTGTTTTTTGTGCTATTGATTGCACATGAAATCTCACACATCTACCACTCAACCATTCCACACTTTGAGATTGTTTCTTTACTTTGAGAATCATGTATAGCATAATTTTACCATGCCATGGAAGCCTTCTGCAAGAAAAGAACACTTTTAATACCTGGCAACTAAAAGAGACATTCTTGCTATCAGTTTGGAGAAATTAATACAATGCACAAAATACTGCAATGGAAATGCATGTGCTGATGTACTGACAATTTCCTGTCCTTTCTATCCTACATCTTGCAGATTCAGAGGCAGTAGACACAGAGAAGTCCCATATGGGACATTGTTGGCAATATCAAACAAACCTACTCTGAGAATTCTGCATGCATCTAGTCTGGAGGCACACCACAGCTGGCAGACCTATCAGGAGGCCTGGTGTATGGAACACATCCTAGCACAGCATTACTTGCTTAGCAGCTAATCACTTTCCATATGAAATGACTTCTTTCATACAACAGTCCCGTGCCCAATTTGCTTACAAGTCTATAGAAACCCACATTCTCAGGAAAATGATGCATTTGCTCTTATAAACAGATAAATACATCATCAGGAGCTTGCTTAATGACAGAATCCCAACCAAAGGATGCTTTCTACTTACATGCATCACTAATATTAGTGAGGCCAAATAAAGACAATGGCTATGCAACCCTAAATAATTGCTTCTAAAAGGCATATGCTGCCATGTATGAGGGTGGGGATAGTTCTTGGTCTTCACAGCAATGCCTCACTGCTGGTGTCACAAGATGTCACTTTTGATTCTTAAGGACCATTTTCAATATTACGTCATTTAACACTGAAGGAGTTAATGGTGGGCTTTAACCCTTCTTGACAAAACTCAGCAGAAATCCAGTGGAGACTGCACGCATGAAAGGGTGCAAGAGTTACCAAGGTGCTTCTTACCATGTTTATGGATGACACAGGACCAATGCTGTTAACATAAATGTCCACATCGATCACAGTTGGTTTTACTGTGGAGAAAAATGCATATATGTTAGTACATTACAGTATAGTGAAAGGTGGAGAGTACAGCCCAAAGTTGGGAGGACTCACTCTCTAACAGCAGAGGCCTTTGCAACACAGGTGGGTGGATTTCTATTGGGGACTTAATTTGCATTTAAAACTAAACTCATCTTGTCTTCTTAAATTGTCAAAGGCTGAGAGATTCTGACTTGTATTTATTGAGCTGTGGGATAATAAGACAGCTACCCACTGCAAATTGCCAGTAACAGATGACTATAAAGATATTCTATGTTACTTAAGTTGATTTTATGGCAAAGAAATAAGATAAAATATAAGACAACGCATAAATCATTTAATGCCGAAGTTGCTATAAAGCTAAATCACAAGATGAGCAATATCTGAGGTGGATAAAAACCTACACTTTCAAAGCAAAGTTCTATTGAGTCTAAACTCCCAAGAAAAATGAAAACATGGCTTATCATTATCACATCATTATTTAATAATTATCATCATTATTATTAAGCTAGACATAGACATATCCAACACAGAATTAAAGTGATACAGTCAAGAAAATAAAAATAAAATAAAGATATCACTGTTTCAGCCAGGTGCAGTGTTACATGCCATAATGCCAGTACTGGGGAGGGTGGAGGAAAGCAAATCCCTGAAAATTTGAGGCCAGCCTGATCTACAAAGTGAGTCCAGAACAGCCAAAGCTACACAGAGAAACACTCTTAGAAAACAAACAGAAAACGGCTCGGGAGGGAAACCCTTCATCAACATTCAGGGAACAAGGAAGGAGAAAACAAAGCCAATTTTAGATATTTATGCCCAGGAGGAATATAAACAAGATGGATGAACTTTTCCATATGAAGTTTCCATGGAAACAAGATTGTTTGCTTTTGCAATTATTTCATGGGCCTCCTTCAGTTTTTCTGAATTGCTGCTCATTCACAAATGGACTCTGCCCTTCGCTTTTGGAACTGAATGGTATTTTTGAGCTTCCAAGCTCATACATTCAGGGATCTACAGCCAGCACAGTGGTTTTTAGACTTTCATGAGATGAAAACAATAGCCATGAATTTGAGACAACTCCCTTAACATCTGTCAACACAACCAAGCCTTGTTAGTTCCAAAGAGCTGTTGGCATTTTGGACCAAAGCCCCACCACAATTCTACTCACTATACAGCGACAAATTGCAGCTAAGTAGGCTCAAAACCTGAAACTAGGCTTTTCTCATTATTAAAATGACAAATAGCACCTTCTTTGGCTTCATTGGATACCTCAGTGTTCAATTTCCACACACTACAATCTTACTTTTTGTTGTGCAGACTGTGTGATGTCAGTCAAAACTTTTTGCAAAAGGATTTTCTGGTTCTTTCAGAGTATTTATTAGACTCTGGGATTTTAGAGTTTGTTAATCTCATTAAATTAAAAGGGCTTTCAGACACAAAGCCTGAATAGCTTAAGGGGGAAGTATGAAATGTACTGAGTACAATCACATAACAAAAATTTTAACAGAGAGACATTTGGAATACATACACATGCACACACATCAGCTCATAAATGCTGGGGGAACCACTGGTTTTAGTAGTTGTTGCTAAGCAGAGACATAATAATGTCAGAGGCACGTTTTAGAACGGCATCTGACAGCTGTGCCCAGGAAGTGTACAGGCCACGCTTCATAATTCAGACACTACAGATACAGTTCTCAAAAAGCGTTTCAACAAAGCCATTAGAAATCAAAATGGGGAAATGGCAGCCTTTTTGGCAAATGACGCTAGAAAAACTAGATATCCAAGAACAAAGGAATAGATTTGGATACTTACACCTTAAATCATATCCAAAAATAAACCCAAAGTAGATTAAATAACTAATTGTACCTAAAACTATAGAACTATTAGAAGTAAAAATGGGGGTTGGGTATCGTGATATTTATTTTTGTGGTGGTGTCTTGCATTCAGTATCAGTATCTCAGACAATAAGAAGAAAAATAGGTTAATTTTATTACAGTATATATATACCTTTGTACAGAAGGCACAACAGAGTGAAACAGTCACTTAATTATAGGAGAGACACTTGCAGGTCATGTATATGATGGTTTACTTTCCTAGATATGTAAAAAACTCAAGAGATTCAATGACAATGGACAAGGAAAATAGTCTACCACCCACAGAGTACTGAAAAAGAATCACATGCACCATTAATGATATGGAAAAATTCTCCTTAAATGGCAAAAATTCACTTGAAAAATTCCAAAATCTTTTCATGTTAAAAGTCTTGGAGAGTTTAGGGATACAAGGCATATACCTAAACATGGATATAAGCAAGCCTATATCCAAAATCAACTTAGGTGGAGAGAAACTTAAATTAATTCCACTGAAATCAGAGATGAGGCAACACAGTACTTGAAGTCCTTGCTAGAGCAATAAGACAACTAAAGGAGATCAAGCGGATACATAATTGGAAAGGATCAAATATCCTTTCGTCAAAGCATCACTATTCAAAAATGATATGATAGTATACATAAGTGACCCCAAAAATTCTACCAAGGAACTGCTACTGCTTATAAACATCTTCAGCAAAGTGGCTTGATATAAAATTAACTCAAAAAAAGCAAATATCCCTCCTGTATACAAAAGACAAATGGGCTAAGAAACAACACCCTTCACAATAGCCACAAAAAAACATGAAGTATCTTGGTATAAGTGAAAGACTTGTATGAAAAAAACTTCAAATTTGTGAAGCCAGAAACTGAAGAAGATATAAAGACCTCTCATACTCATAGATTAGTAGGATTAACCAATGTAAAAATGGCCATTCTACCAAAAGCAATCTACAGATTCAATGCAATTCCCATCAAAATGCCAACAAAATATTTTACAGACCTTGTAAGAACAATTCTCAAATTCATATAGAAAAAAACAAAAACTTCAGAATAGCTAAAACAATCCTGTTCAATAAAAGATCTTCTGGAGGTATCTCCATCCCTGATCTCAAGCTCTACTATAAAACAACAGTCCTAAAAACTGCATGGTACTGGCACAGAAACAGACTAGTGGATCAATGGAATCAGATCGAAGACCCAGAAATGAACCCACACAGCTACAGAAACTTGATTTTTGACAAAGAAGCCAAAACCATACAATGGGAAAAAAAAAGATAGCATCTTCAACAAATGGTACCAGTTTAATTGGATGTCTACATCTAGAATAAACATACTAAAATCTGTACTCCTAAGGAAGCTAATCAAGAAGGAGGACTCTGGCTAAGATGTACAATCCCATTCAGAAAGGCAAAGAGGATGGACATTGGAGGAGGGAGAAAACAAGGAACAGGACAAAATCCTACCACAGAGGGCTTCTGAAAGGCTCTACCCTGCAGGGTATTGAGGCAGATGCTGAGACTCATAGCCAAACTTTGTGCAGAGTGCAGGGAATCTTATGAAGGAAGTGGGAGATAGTAAGACCTGGAGAGGTCAGGAGCTCCTCAACAACAGCAACAGAACCAAAAAGTTTAGGCACAGGGGTCTTTCTGAGACTGATATTCCAGCCAAGGACCATTCATGGAGATGGCCTGGAACCCCTGCACAGAGGTAGCCCATGGCAGTTCAGTGATCAAGTGGGTTCCATAGTAATGGGGACAGGGACTGTCTCTGACAGGTGCTCCTTGAGGGGAGAGCAGACTTACCAGGACACAGAGGAAGACAATGCAGCCAGTCCTGATGAGATCTGATAGACTAGAATCACAGGGAAGGAAAGGAGTACCTCCATTATCAGCGGACTGGGGGAGGCACGGGGAAGAGGGAAGGAAGGTGAGGTTGGGAGGGGAGGAGGGAGGGAGTTACAGGGGGATACAAAGTGAATAAATTGTAATTAATAACAATAGATTTAAAGCAAACAAAAAAGAAAAATGGAAATAGATCCATATTTATCACTCTGCACTAAACTAAGGTCCAAGTGAATCAAAGACCTCAACATAAAACCAGACACAATAAATCTGTTAGAAGTAAAAGTGGGGAAGAGCCTTGACCTCATTGGCACAGGAGACAATTTCCTGAATAGAACACCAACAGTTTACACTCTAGGATTAAAGAAAAGTTAATAAGTGGGTCCTTATGAAACTGGAAAGCTTATGAAAAGGAAAGAACACTGTCAACAGAAGAAAATGACAGCCTACAGACTGAGAAAAGATCTTCTACAGACTCTACATTAAACAGAGGAATAATATCTAAAATGTATAAAGAAATCAAAAAATTAAACACCAACAAACCAAATAATCCAATTAAAAATGGGGTACAGCACTAAAGAGAGAATTCTCAAAAAAGGAATATAAAATTGGGGAGAAATAAAGAAATGTTCAACATCCTTAGTCATCAGGGATGTGCAAATCAAAAGTACTTTGAGATTCCATCTTACACTCAACAGAATGGCTAAGATCAAAAACTCAAGTGACAGCAGGTGCAGGAGAGGATGCAGGTGAGGATGTGGAGAACGGGAAGCACTCCTCCATTGCTCTTGGGAGTACAAACTTGTACAGCCACTTTGGAATCAATCTGGAACTTTCTCAGAAAATTCTGAATAGTGCTACCTTGGGACCCAGCTATACCTCTCCTGGGTATATACCCAAAAGATGCTCGACCATACAACAAAGATACTTGCACAACTATGTTCATATCAGCTTTATTCATAATAGCCAGACTTTGAAAACAGCCTAGATGTCCTTCACCCAATGAATGGATACGTAAATTGTGGTACATTTACACAATGGAATACTACTCAGCTATTAAAAACAAGGAAATCATGAAATTTACAGGCTAATGAATGGAACTAGCAAAGATCATCCTGAGTGAGGTAACCCAGAAGCAGAAATACACACATGGTATCTCACTGGTAAGTGGATATTGGCCATATAATACAGGATAACTATTCTAAAACTCACAGACCTAAAGAAGCTAAATAACAAGGGGAATCCCAAAGAGCATGCTTAATTCTATTCAGAAGGGCA